TCCATACTCCAGCAGATTTTGCTTTCGTAATTTTGAATAACTGACCATACTGTCGATATGATTTTCATTTGTCTTTTTTTTGCAGCTTAGTATCCTACATTGAGTATCTTCATTGATACTCTACCTTCACTTTTGGTATATTATTGACTGATATATGAAAAGGCTTTCTTTGATGTGATTGTTTGGTCACATGGTGTATAATATATGATGGAGTGAGTTGCGATGTATAAAGGATTGCTTGGTATAGTAAAAAAAAAATTAACGAAGCGTGAACGTAAGACAAAAATAAGAAAGAAGCGCTTGTAATCATTATTTTCATCACATAATATAGTTAATACGATGAGGAGCTCCTTACTATCATATCTCACTGTAGATTAGCTAATATTCAAGTTTAATTCTTTCCATGTACAAAATTGCTTGAGATCTATGGAGATATATTAGCTATTCTTGATACATACTTATTTATGAAACTCTTATTCTTTACAAGTAGTAATAGTATAACAAAAGTACGAATACCTATGATGTTAATAAATTCAATGAACTGATCTTTAAAAAATGTACTCTTCTACTACTAAGTGTGCCAAAGATCCAATCGAACAAAGAAAGATGAATATTTCTTTAACTATTTTAGTGATTTACGAGAGACTTCTACAGTTTAATTCCATATCCATTGAAGTTTTATTTCACATAAATTGGTCTCTAATAGATATGCAAAATGACTAATTTATAAATGCAATACAATCAACCTACCTTTTTTTTGAAATATCTGTAAAAACATCATATAAATTGCAGGTTGTAATTCCGAATGATAGGTGACATTGAAGGAGTAGACTAGCTTTAAATATCTAATATTATTTTTTAAATCAACTTATCTATAGAAATCATCCTACTAAATCTATATTGGCTTGTGTTACATAATCATGACATACTTCTATCTTTGCTCTTTGTTTTTTTTAGTTCGATTTAATAAAAAATATCGACAATGGGGAAAATATGTTATTGTTAAGAGAAAACATTTTAAAAATGCTTTATATTTATAAATTTGTATGTTATCTATTGAAACATAATTGAGTATTGATTAAATTAAATAATATAAATTATATTATTATTCGATATCGAATATTCAGATTCCTATAGATAAAGATAATCGGCCTTGTTTTTTTTATTAGATTATTAATAATTAACATATATTATATTCTCTAAAAAACAAATTCACTATCTAGATTTTATTTCTAGGACGTTTTTTTTGTTAAAGATTAACTTGGATAGAAGTTTAATATATGTTAATATCAATATGAATATTTATCGAACTAGACAAACAAATAAAAATCTATATGAATATATGTTTCAAAGAAAACAAAATTTTGAATAATAGTCATTTAACCCGAGAGAGTTATTCATCAATGAATATCTTCAACATATATATTTGAATAATATTATTCTAATAGGTACCTTCATTCAAATTCAGGAAGAATTTTTATTTTCGTCTTTTGTACTATTTTGCATTTATTCTAGACAACAATATATATTATAATAATGTTTTTCTGGGTGTCGATTTATATATCCATCTCTCCATCTACAATAAAGATCATTTGAACGAAGTTAAATCCAGTATTAAATATAAATAATAATTTATTTAACTTCTAACTATCTCATTACCTTATTTCGATTTTTTAACAATTGATTCGTTACGTATTTATTATATATTTTCCAGTCTATTATAGAGTCGTAGAGAGCAGCTATCATTTGACAATACCGGTTCATTTAATTGTTCCCAATGGGTCTCGTTATGAAACAAATTGGAGATAAATTCCTGAAACGGCAGTGATTATTGTGATAATGCTTTTTTTTCATATTGTTTATAGTCTCAAGTTAAATCTATATGATAATAATTGATGCTAGGTGATAATTAACCATCATTCTTTAGAAATACTCGAAAAAGAGGAACAATCGAGACGAAGACATTGAAATAAATATAAATACAGACGACGACATCGATTTCACTTCGAAATAAACACAAATATCTCAGAGTATTTATTCTGTTAGAAACTAGACTAGTTCACACTTACTAAACATTTTACTTTTATTTATAAACAACGTTTTTTTTTATTTATCTTAGAAAGACAATCCGATGATTTCATTATATAATTACACTATTAGATGATCGATACTATTATCTAACAAAGAGACAATTATAATCGTAAAATAACAAAAAAATAATAATCATATGAAAATAACTATAGTTAAACAAACGAATCTCTGACCCTGAATTTGACAGCAAAGTATTTCTATTTATTATTGGTTAAAATAATAAGATGAAGAATATAGATATGAATCGAATTTGACTAAGTTGGTAGATTGAGTAGAAATTATCGAATAAATCGATCTATAATCAAATAGGAATAATTGTTTATATTATTGATCATCAAGCAATTCTTTTTTCAAAATATTTATACGTTTTGTTCTAATCATCTTTTGTTTTTGTTGGTCCCAATTTGAAAATGAAGACATCGACCAATGTAATTATCGAAATGGGAAAGAATTTGTAAACTAGCCATCCTAAAATATCTTCGAAACGATAAATTAATAAACAGATATAGAATATGTTTTGAGCGAATAGAATCGATTTATTATCTATTATTAACTTTATTGAAAAGTTATCTTCTTGTCATTTTAGAACCTGAAAATCTATGGAAAAATAACACTCATAGACAGGATAAAAAAACATCATTTATCATTCGATCGTCAATAGATTTATCTTGACATCTCAACCAAGATTTTTCAAACTTCAACTTGTTCAATCAATCGAGTTCAAATTTGACATATCGATTATAATTGACGCCCTTCATTTATTACTATACGTTGACATATAATATATATATTCATCATCAAAATAAACGGACAGAGCTCTTTTTTAATATATATGTATCCAGTATAAAAGGGTATTAAATCTCGTTAATATGTGTAGCTTTACTGTTCTAGTAAGACTAAAATAATCATCAATAAACCTTTTGCCAGTTGCAATAATTTGTTAAAAAAAACGATAGAAATTTATTTAATGGACTCCTATGTCGTTCGAACAAATATTTCTTATTATACTCTTTCATTAGACTTTTCTAATTAATTAGAAAAGTCTAATGAAAGAGTATAACAAGAAATATTTGTTCGAACGACATAGGAGTCCATTAAATAAATTTCTATCGTTTTTTTAACAAATTATTGCAACCGTCAACAAGTTTATTGATGATTATTTTAGTCTTACTAGAACAGTAGAACTACACATATGAACCCGATTAAATACCCTTTTATATTGAATATATATATTAAAAAAGAGCTCTGTCCGTTTATTTTGATGATGAATATACATATGATTAAAATTGTGTTTATTTCAAATATGAAAAATAATGGTTAAATAATATTATATAAAATAATTCTTATAGAATTTCTAATATAATAAATAAATTTTGAAATAAAATGAAAAATAATGTTTTAAATCGAATGTTAAAAATGTGTTAATTCCCGTCTATTAATAACAATGGAAAGATTTGTTGAATAAGATTATATTTAATATTGATGATTAACAATTCAATATTGATAATTGACATATGTTTTTATTCTTTTATTAAAATATATTTTAATAAATAATAAATAAAATAAATATAGTTACAGAATTTAATTGATTAGAATAAAAATAAAACAAATAAATCTAGATGATTAAATTCTTAAATCTCATAATGAATTATTTATTAAGAAAAAAAGAACCGATGAGAACTTTTTCGAAATAGAGCATTAAATAATTCTATCAAAGAATTTGTTTAATTAAAATCGTTTTTTTTATATAAAAATAATTATTTATTTAATAGAAATTTTCTCAAATATAATAAATTATCGTTATATGTTGAATTTTCATTGAAATTTCGAATATTTTTAGTTTTTTCTAATATAACTCAAACTATACGCAGGAACAGCGCAAAGAGGTGAAAGCAAGGTGGGAGGGATATTTTCGGAAAATGGGAGGATATATGAAAAAACGTATCGAACTTCAAATATTGAAGTAGACTAGGCGAAACGTTTTTATAAATATTTCGAAAGTTTTCGAAAATCGATGAGCAAAAAAACAAAAATTTTCAAAAACTGGGTGGATACTCGTCCCCCAATTCCGCCGCTCCTGCTTTTACATCTAAAGAAGTTCTATCGTTAAATGTTTTATAATAACTGTAAATAAGTAAATAGATTGACTAGTATATTGATTTAACATATTACTTTTGCTTTTTGTGTAATAGATATCACAGAAAAAAAATCTTCCACAGCAATTATATTTAATTTGATGTTTTCATAGGAGCCCGAAACGTTTTCTATAATTATATTTGTCTATTGATAATATGTGATAACATATCTGAGATATAAATAAATTCTTTTTTGCATTGTTATATAATATATCGAGAAAAGATAGCATTAACCATATAAGTTAAAAACAATAGAGAATTGAATTCTAGAATTCTATTTTTTATAGAAAATCTACTTTAGATAAATGAGTATAAGTTTAGTTATGTCTATTTAGAATAAACCAACACAACTGAATACTCACAAATTTGTTGATGACTGATAGATTGAAACAACAGACAAAAAATGGAAGGAATAATTATATATCGAATTATTTCCTTTTCTTGTTTCGATTGTTTAAACCTTGGAAATATGACAATCAATAAAAATAATCCTTCTCCTCATAACGCTTTTATCTTATTAAGATTCGTGTTTTTTCCAATAATAATTATTTCTCTCTATGATTAATTTATTCCAATATAAAATAGAACTATTGTCCATTTCAAAATAGAAAAAGGGTGGTTGTTTTTTGAATAACTTTTTAATGGAAATAGCTATCGGTCTGCGGTTTTCACCATTTGATAGAGGC